AGAGTATCCAGGAAAAAAAAGAATGCAGCCCAAGAGACACCGTAATTTTACTTCAATGAGATCCACATCTGATTTGATTTAAAAAAAAAAACCTGATAATAAATTGATATAATTTATATTTTCATTTGTTATAGCAGCAATAAAAAACTGATCCAGTGGAGGGAAGGAGACCTATTTAGGCCAAATGATTGCATTTATCAATCCTTATCAGCAAGGACTGCAGTTCTTATCTGCTCATCCCTAAGGCTGTTTATAAGGCTCACAACCAGTGCTAGAACCTCAGGATTTCCTCATAGCAGTCCTTCCTTTTTTGGCAAGTGACTTCCCTGATTTGTGCCTTAGTTTTTGCATCTATGTGGCTCTGCATTATGGTGAAAATCCACTTATTTAGTAATGCACCTTGCACAATGTGTTATCAAGGGTTAGTCATTAATAAATCATAAAAATCTTGTAAAAGGTTAGGTAAAAAAAATGGTCTAGTAGAATTGGAATGCAGAGAACACTGGTTCTTAAGAAGGTGAGGCTCAATGCAGGCTCAAAATAGCAGTTCATACACTTACGGAGATACGAGAGATGCCCAGAGCCAAGGGGACAGGATTCTACTCATGGTCATGAGAGAAGCTGAGGATACAATATTTTTAATAAGTTCATTTATGGGGGGCTGGAACCCCTATAGTGGGTAGGGCACTTGCCTTGCACACAGTAGATCCAGATTAAATCTCTGGAATCCCATATGGTTCCCGAGCCTGCCAGGAGTAATTCTTGAGCACAGAGCCAAAAGTAAGCCCTGAGTACTGCCAGGTGTAGCCTGCCCCTCCCCCCACCAAAAAAAGTCAATTCACTTCTTCTTTATATTAATACCATAATAAAAAATTCTATTGCTTTTTAAATTTAGAATTTGCTTGGGTTATATTATTTATGCAATTCATTTCATGATAATGAAGAGTATGTGCTTAATTCTATGGATCAGTATTCGAGGTCCAGTATGCCCTTATATCTTGGCCATATCTTTCAACCAAGTTAGCAAAAACCAATAGATGAAAAGCAATGTAATAGTCGAGGAGATGGCTCAAAGGGCTGAGGGCACAGTCTGCAAGCAGGAAGAGCAGCTCAGTTCCCACACCACGTGGTTCCCCAAGATATTAGAAACCCCTGGAGCCAGAGAGATGGCACAAACGACTGGAGCACATGGGAGAGGCCCGAGCTTGAGCCCTGTCAGAGCACACTCTCTCCCCACCGCCCCCCCACCCCACCGAGCCTATAGTTTGTAGGAGAAATCCTGAAGCACCAAGCTGGGAGATTCCAAGAACCAGCAGGGACTCTGCTTCCCCCACCCCCCACCCCCTGCCAAAATAAAAGTGATAAGACCCCAAAGCAAACTTTATTAGAGTAAAAGAAAGGGGTGATCCCTCAGGGGGGGCAATTTCCACTTCATTTTATTGGAACTGTACCAGTAATCTGCAGATGATGGGTAGGTACTGCCTTCAACTTTAATTCTGAGTCCTCTTCCATAATGCAGGCAAGCAAAGCAAGCATGTACAGCCAATTCTTTGCCCCCCCCCCTTTTTTTTTTTCAGGAAAAGCCACTGAGGTCTAGGCACGTTAGGGTGATTCTGTCGACAGAGTAGACCCCTAGGTATGTACAGACACTGGTGCTCAATGGTTCTGTTCTCAGCGCGCTTACTCACTGGTAGAGAAAAGAGCTCTCCACTAGGGGGCATTTGTTGCATCAGGGGGTGAAGGTTGGCTGTGGTTGAAGATATGCACTGGCCCCTTCAAACAGGGAAAAAACCAACTTCAGAAAGGTCATCTACATCCTAAAGCAGCATCTCTGCCACACCTCTCACCCACTCCCAGATTACAGCAGGCAAACAGCGCTCTTCTGTAGAAATCCTGGAATCAAGACTGCGTTTCCAAATATGAGCACATAGGTAGGTAATTTTTTTTTTTAAAGTCTCTTCGGGTGGTACAAGAGAAACTCCTTCAGCTGGGAAGCTCTCTGTCAGATCAAACAAGGAAAGACAGAATGTATACTACTTGACTGGAGGGGGCACATGACCCCTGCATCCTCAGTGGCAGTTTACAAACACCTTCCAAAAAGAGACACCAGGAAGAGTGGTTGTCTTCTGAGCAGTATGCATGAGGGGCAGAGGGGGTGGGGTCATGCTCAGTGATGACCCCTGGGCTAGTGGTTTAGTGCTAGGGTCTGAGGCTGTTGGAGGTGGAGGGGTAAGATCTAACCAAGGTGGGAGAATGGAGTGGGCTACATACACCCATGGAGGCTCAGGATGACACACTATTTCTTTTTTTAGCATTTGCTTGAAGCAAAATATTTTTTATTAAAATAAATTTAGAGAAATTAAATGTGAGGGGAGGGGAAAAGAGAGAGATAAATGTTTAGGAGACAACATTGGCAACTCCGGGGCAGGGGGTGGGGGTTGGGGGTGCAGGGGAGAAAACCAAAGAGACACTATTACAAGGAAGGTACCTACTGCCTGCTCTGAAAAGAGTCGATTTTTCAACTATGGGCCCCGAAGTGCAGACCAAAAGAAAACAAACCTGGCTTCAATCTCTGCTACAGCATATGGTGTCCTGAGCACCGCCAGGAGCTTATACTGTGGAGGCCCCCAGGTCTTCCTCGGAGGCCCCACCTGCATCCCCTGACAGTGAGTGTAAGAATGTCACATGAGAACTGGAGAAATAGCACAGAGTGTAGGGCGTTTGCCGCACACACACGAACCTGGGTTCAATCTCTGCTAGAATATGTGGTCTCCCTGAGCACCGCCTGGGATGATCTCTGAGCACAGAGCCAGGAGTAACCTTGTTGCACAACCAGGTATAGCCCAAAGATCAAAATGGTCACAGTCAGGGATAGCCCTGTACACAGCCCAAAACAACCAAACTAAAACAAACAACAACAGCAGCTGCATCAATAAAGCTTGAAAATTGCTTGATCTTTTTTGTTTTGTTTTTTCCCTGTCAAGGACTGAACCCTGGGGTATCTGCAAAGCAAGGGATCTACTGCTGAGTAAAATCCCTGACCTGTATAAGTGATTTTCTTTCTTCTTTTTTTTCCTTTGCTTTTGGGCCACACCTGGTTTTGCTCCTGGCTCTGCTCAGGGACCTTTTTTGGCAGTGATCAAGAGACCATATATGGTGCCAGATCAAACTGAACCTAGCCTCATGCAAGGCTACCCTACCTACTGCACTATCTCTCTTATATAAGTGTTTTTCAAGTACATAGGCTCACCTCACTTTTTCTTCCTCTTTTGGGTTTTTTTTTTTCCAAGCACTTTGCTAAGTCATTTTCATGTCAATAAAACCAAGGAGAAAATTTTTGTCTTAATTTTTTTTAAGAGCCTGAAATACAAAGGTGAGCCTTTTGTCTCACATAGATCCTACAGTATATTCTGCACGCTGGTGCCCAACAGACTACAGTCCAAACTGCATGGTCCTGAATCCCAACCTGCCCCTTGGCACACAACCGTGCACACACACTTGAATCAAGAAAACTTTTTTTTCTGTTTGCTTATGTTAATCATCAAGCCAAAACAAATAGCCTTCCACTTTCAGGATCCAGCATAGCAATTAAATATGAAGACATCACAAATCCTCTAGATAAATGGGGATGGGGGGGGGGGGAAGAAAACCTCTGTTCCCACCAAAGAGTTGTTGCATCAGCTACCACACTTAAACCAAGTTGGCTTTTCAACTTTGAACTTTCTCAGTTTCACATACCGGTACCACCAGGCACCATCAGCGGTGGGTGAGCAGGAAATTGATTTTGGCCTCAAATCATCGAGACGGTTGGGTTGAAATCTTCTGATTCAATGGTTACTGAGTTCTTTTATTTATCCCCACTTAAAAGAGGACCTGACCTTAAGTGAAAGATCCAGACAACGCAGCCTGAGGGGAGGGAGAGCCAAATAAATTAAAAAAAAAAAATGCATGAAGGTGTTGCTGATAGTCGTGGGCTTAGTTTAGGAGGGCCAGCGAAGGAGAGAGAATTGCATTGCGTTGGAAGGGGAATGCATTGCCCACTTATGACTTAAACCCCTCCCAATCCCGCAACACCAGGAAACCACAAAAGGTGGTTCCCTGCGTTAGTCACTGTTTAAGGAACTGGAGGCATCAACTTTCACAGATGTGGTTTGTAAGACATCTCACACCAAGGAGGATATATTTATTTACAAATGTCAAGTGGTTTTCACAGCAATCTGGGGGGGGGGGGGGAGTTTGGAGCGGGGGAAGAATTATCCCCCGAAAAGGACGGGCCAAAAAAACTCCCACCCCACTTCCCAGCCCTCCACGCAGAGGCACCTGGAATCCAGACTGACCGGCCCAACTCCTGGCAGCACCCTGAACTTTTGCATAATGCCGCAGCCACACGCTCGCCTGCACGACAGCCCCGCCAGAAATCCAGCAACCCCCCCTTTCAAAAAAAGCGAAGAGGGTAAGGGAAGATGGGGAGAGTTCGCGCTCCACCTTCCCACTCTCAGGTCCCTTCGGATTCAGCCCTCCCAAGCGCTGCCTTGCCGGTGAAGGGGGGTTGTGGGGGGTGTCGGCTGGGCGAGCGAGAACCGTGCCAAAGCAGAAAACTCTCCGCGTGGCTAGAGCTCGGTGAGCTGGCTCCGCCAGGCGCACGGGTGGGCAGCTCGGATCTGCACGTCCACACTTCCAGCTGCACCTCCCAGCCCCGACCCTTCGGAAGCGGTGGGTGGGGGAGTCTCCGCTTTTGCAAAAGGTGCGTCCGAGAGTTCCCACTCTCCGGCCTCGCCACTCACCCCTGCGGGCACGATTCCCGAGTGGAGGCGTGGGGGAGGGAGAAGCGCCCCCCCCCCACCGCGCCTTGAGTAAAAGTTGTTCAAACTCCCTGCCCCCCCGCCCCCGCGCACGCACCGCCCGGGGTGTGACGGCACGTGGGTGCGAGCGGGGCTGCGGCGGACGGGCGCAGGGGCGTGTGCGCGCCGGGAGCGCCCCGCGCGGCCTTAACCCCTTACCTTCCAGCAGCACTTCCTTGCCCGCGCGCTTCAGCGCCTGCACCGCCTCGTCGTGGGTGGCGTCCCGCAGGTCGGCGCCGTTCACCGACAGGATGGCGTCGCCCACGTACAGGGCTTGGGTCTGATCGGCCGCCAGCCCCTTGAAGATCTTGCTGATGAGGATGGGCATCTTGTTCTCCTTGCCGCCCTTGATGCTGATGCCCAGCCCGCCCAGCTCCTGCTTGAGCACCTTCACGCCGCGCTTCTGGTTCGAGATGGACTCGGGCACCTGCTCGGGCAGGTCGGTGAAGGCGGTGCGGACCCCGGCCGGCGAGTCCGGGGGCTGCGCGGCGCCGCCGCCGCCGCCGCCCGCGCCCCTGCAGAACGAGCCATTGGTGGTGGCCGCGGCGAGGCCGTTGGACGCCGCGGCGGCCTCGTCGCAGCTGAGCACCAGGGAGTCGTCGCTCAAGTTCACAAGAACTTTGTGCCAGCGATCGCGCACCAAAACTTCCAGCAGCCCGCTCCGCTGCGCGCGGCCGCCCGCCGCCGCTAGCGCCATCTTTCCGGCATTCTCGGGGAGCCGGGTGACGGCGATCGGGGCTGGGGGGCACGACACGGCGGGTGCGGGACCCGCTCGGGGCCGGGGAGGGGGTGGTTCGCCTGGGGAGAGACCGAGAGCGGGAGGGTCAGGATGGGCGCGCGCACCGCCCCGCGCCCGCGCCGGCCCGACTGCGCCGAGCCCCGGAGCGCGCGCGCCCAGCGCCGGGCTGGAGGCGGGTCGCGGCGGGGAGGGGCGGGGACCCGCCACCCGGCGGCCGCTCACCTGTTCCAGCCGCCGCGGGCTCGGCGTGTGACCGCCGCGCGCCCCGCTCCCCGCCGCCCGCCTCCAGCCGGCCCGGGCCGCCGCGCCCCCGCCCCACCCCGCCCCGCCCCGGCCCTCGGGGCCCCCCGGCGGGGTGTGCGGAGCCAGCTCCCGCCTCTCCTACCTGCCTCCCCCCCAAGGGCACCCCGACTTGGAGCTGTCGCTCCGGTTCAGACCCGTTTGCGCCGAAGTCCACGTCTCCAGCAGCCAAGGCCGGGCGCGCTCCTGCGGGGTTCTTACCTGTCTGCTCTCGGCAAGGGCTCAGACCGAGGCCCCACGCGTTCTCCGACGGTTCCGTGCTAAGTCCGTCCCGGGAGCTGCGCAGGAAAGGCCAGTATCAGCCCGGAGCTCGAAACTTCCTCTCTCCAACGCGAGGCATCCCCCCCTGTCTCCGGAGAGGTTGTCCGTGCTAGCCACGCTTTCAGCAGGTGCTGGCTCCAGGCCCCCCCACCCCGCCGGACACGCGATTTGGGTTCCAGCACTTTATATGTGCTCCGTTTCTGACGCGCCCCCGCCCCCGCCCCCAGTGGCATGCCAAATGTTTCCCAGGATTTGGGCTTGTCTCTTTCTCTCCCAAGTCCAATAATGTAAAGGCACCATTTCAGAACTCAGTGGCCGTGGATGGTGGCGTTCAAAGAGCATTATGCGTTAATTACTTGGAGCACAAACTCCGTTTTCTTCCCTCCCAGGCCAAGATGATGGTCACCTGACGGGTTAAGTGGGGAGGTGACCCACGGGTCACTCGGAATCTCCCCAAGTCCTGCTCCTTGAACTTCCCCAGCTCTCCCCCTTTCTAAACAGGTGTTTTGAACCTTTCCAAGCGTTTCCTTGCTTCTCACAGCCCTCTGCCCTCTCCAAAGCCAAACCTCAAACCGAACAAATCTGTTCGTTCTCAGAGATACTCCCATTCTAAACCCTAAACCAGCAAAGGGTCAGAAAGAAATCTTCACGGAACACAGCCCCATCGATGGAGAGCATCGTGAACGTTTGCAAACCCTTCTAGAATGTCAAACGCTTTTCAAAGGAGAAGTTTTAAACCCCTAAGTGAATCCCTGAAGGGTGACTAGTGGCCCAGAAGGTTGTCACACAAGGATAAAAACACACTTGGACTGTTTTTTTTTTTTTCTGAAGTTGGGGGATCACAAAAGGTGGTGGGGGAAAGACCTTTGGGTTAGTTTTTCTGCTCTAGTGTAGTCTTCCAGAAACCCTTTATTCTCTTTGGTAAAATGGCAAAGTGCCCGCCCACAGCAGGGATGCAGGTCCAGCGTCTAGACAGGGAGCTGGTGGGGAGAGACTACCCCTGATGGGTGGGACAGCAAATGGGGGATTGCCCTTTGCTTTAGCGGCTTTGGGGAGATCAGAACCTGAATGTGTACAGTCCAACCCCAGCTCACAAAAGTAGAGATGAGCAGAGGGTTGCAGTGTGGTGATTTAGAAATCAAACCCGATCTGTCTGGGCCCAGCTCCTCAAGCCTGGCACCTGGCACGCCTGCAGCTTGCAGATGTCGTAGAGCGCAAGGAGAGGCCCAGGCATAAGTAGAGGTAATTTATCAATTTGCCGTAAGAAACTGCAGGCTTCAGGATGGGAACTTCTCAGAGCCTCTGTGATGAGTACAGTTGTTTTTTTTGTTTGCTATTTTTTTTTTGGTGGATGCAGACTGGCATGGGAAAGAGGAGGTTGCATCAGAAAGAGGCAAGACAAATATGTAATATCATTAGATCTGAGGCATGCATGCTAATCAGAGATGGGATTGCCAGCAGAGTTACAGCTTTTTTTCAAGAGTTTGTGAGGATCATGTTACTTTTACTGAGCAATGTCTGTTTCCATTAGGACCCGGTTTTGATAACGGAAAGAAATATGAAGAGAATTTTTACTTTTATAATAAAAGAGAAAAAATTTAAAATAAAATTGAGGGTATGTTTTGCAGCATAGCATGCCTTGAAAATTCCAGAGATGGTATGAACTCTGACCTGCAAGAGTGACCTGGCCCAGATCCTTCCTGGGGACATACTTTCTCTAGACTCTGGATTTACATCATTCCTGCACTGACCGGATGTTGGTGTTATAGCAAACTTCATGTGTTATTTGATATGATTTGGTAGGTTATTTTGTGGATGTGGTAACAACAATACTTTTTTTTTCCATAAACTGTGGAAAAGGAATATTGGTACTTTGGTGGTGGCTGTGGTGTGGAAATATTTACCTTTAAGAAGCATGAAATTGTAACCTCAAGACAGATGCATCATTTTTTTTTCTTTTTGGGTCACACCCGGCGATGCACAGGGGTAACTCCTGGCTCTGCGCTCAGGAATTACCCCTGGCGGTGCTCAGGGGACCATATGGGATGCTGGAAATTGAACCCGGGTCAGCCGCGTGCAAGGCAAACGCCTTACCTGCTGTGCTATTGCTCCAGCCCCAAGACAAATGCATCCTGGGGCCAAGGAGATAGTACAAAATGTAAGGCACTTTCATTGCATGCAGGTCACCCTGGTACAAAAGTCCAGTTCTATATATGGGCCCCCAAGCACCACTAGGAGTAACCCCTGAGCCCAGTATGATGTAGCCTCAAAACAAACAGAAAAGATAAGGTACATTCAGTTATGTAAACCATTGGAATTACAATGTTAAAATCTAATAAAAAGGGCCAAAGAGATGGTCCAGCTGATAAGGTACTTGCTGTGCAGGAAACTGACCTGGGTTTGATTCCTGGCAGCCCATATGGCCTCCAAAACCTGTCAGGAATCATCCTGGGCTCAGAGCCTGGAGTCAGCCCTGAGCACTACAGGGAATGGATCAACTCCCTCCGCCCGTCACCCCATCTAATACAAATAAATAAATTAAATTACTTTCAAAGTTTCCATGTAAATACATGGCGATGACTTCTTTGTTTACATTGTGTTGACTTATAAATGGTTTCCTAGGAAAATGAGGGAAACTTGTGTAACAGCTAATCTCATCTCGGTGCTTTACATATATTAACTTAATTCTCTTAGCAATTCTTTGGGAAACTGAAGTATTATCATCACCCAATCATGTTACTGCTAAATGGCAAAAAACGGGATTTGAAATCAGCAACAAAAACGCCTGACCTGGTAACCACTCACCTCTCTACCTCCTCCCGAAAACCCTCAGAGCTGGTTGGCTAAGCCCCTCTGTTCAACCCCAGCCTCTAGGGATAGAACTAGCCCTTACTCAGGTCCTCTTCTTTCCTGTCTGAGAACACCCCTACAGCTATGTATTTATATCATTCTCCACTTGGCCAGTTTCTTTAAAGGTTCCTTTTCTTTAGAAATATTAATATGCTGAAATTGATCTTGTTGGCCTAGAAACTTCACACCCCTCTTCTGGTCTGACCTCTGATTTGCCATGCTAATTAATGCTTTACCTTTTCTTAGGTCCTGGAAGGATTTGACTGCTGCCCTGTTAGCCCCAAACTGCTTACCATCAGACTAGATTCTACTCTCTAGGTGACTCCTCTCATTAAGTTTTTTATTTTTCTTTGGGGCCACACCTGTCTATGCTTGGGTCTTCTCCCAGTGGCTCTCGGAGGATCTCAGGTTGCCAGGAATTAAACGAGGGTCAACCACACACAAGCCTTTACCCCTGGGTTATCTCTGCTGCCAGGTGGACCCTTTGAAAGAAAACCGCTGCAAAGAATGAAAAACACACCCATCCTCTTCATTTTCTAACAGTGGCACTCGGAGTTCCAAGCACGCCGAGCAGAGGAGGTTTGTGTCAGGATGGAGACTGAGCTTTATGACTAACGGCCCTATTTTAGTAGTTCAGGAATGATACTGAGTTCCTGCCCTTTGGGTTGTTGTTAAGCAGATTTATTTGGTTTAGTTCTGTCCCCATTCTGTTTCCTTTTTCTGTTCTAAATCCTTGACTTTCCCTTCCCAAGACACTGAACTCTGGACTCTCCGCATTCTCGGGTCTGCAAGGGCAGGTGGCAAAATCCCCAGCTCTGCAGCGAGCAGCGGGAGGGGGCAGAAGGGAGTTCATCCTTCATTCCTAGCAGCCCTGTGCAGCGACCATGTGCCAGGCTCGGAGCTGGGGGATGGAACAGACCAGCCTGCAAAGACATGTCTTGCAAAACAGGATAGTGGTGGCAGGGTGGAGAAGGACCGCAAACATAAGATAAGATACTTTGTACAGGAGTAAATTCTGGAAAATGACACAGTAACAGGGTCAAGAGTGAATGGGCCAAGGACTCCCTGGGGATGGCTGTTGACTAAAGGCTTTGTTAAAGGTGACTCTTGGACCCAGAAGTAGGTGATAAGAAGACAGGAGTCTGAACCCAGAGGTGAGGGGCGGCAGGGTGCGGGAAGCACAGGGGCTTTCAATGCCTGTGGTCCCAAGTTCAGATCACTGTTTTTCACATGCACCAAGCCTGTTCCCCATGATTCTGTTGTCTGACCTCTATAGATCAGCCCTCTGCGACTCCTGGTGCCACAAGCAGTTACTGTCTCCACAATAGCCCCAGTCTAGATCAACACCCCAAGGGGATGCAGTAGCTCAAATCACTGTTGTTCACATGCACTGAGCCTGTTTGGGGCGGCTCTGTTGTCTGTGCTCTCTAGCTCTGCCCTCTGTGATTCCTGTAGCCACAAGCAGTTACTGACCCCACTGCAGCCCCAATATATATTTGCACTCCAGAGGGCTGCCATCCCTGAGAAGAACTGAAACTAAAAAGATCTACAAACACCATAGTCAGCATATACCCCAACCCTAACTCATGCACCACCACAAAAGTCACTCGTGTGTGACTCCAGCCAGCACATGAGGAAGCATTACAGCTAAGACTCGGTGAACACCGCTCAGCCTGCTGTGGGCCCCCAGGAAGCAGCCCTAGTCACCTTCTATGAACTCCTACCACAAGACGAGAGGGTGAAGAAATAAGCAGAGGACAAAGACTTGCAACAATAATGAAGACAGAGTCCCAGGGAGAAGAGAGGGACTAAAGGAAGGTGAGGGAGATTGGGGTAACCCATGGGAGATAGGAGGGATGAGAGACTCGCAGAGACAGGGGTAAGAGATTACCAGCAAGGACCAGGACACAGGCTCTGCCTGTCCTCTCTGAGATTTCACAGCCAAACATTGTGGACCTTTAGGGACACTCTGGTCTCACCTCTCCCCTCAATGCTCCTGGGTAAACTTTCATGGGCTAGAAAACCTGCACCAGTATTTTGATGTAGAAACATATAAGCCATTGGACTTCTGACACTTTTGATTTCTAAAACTAACAAACAAAAAAGCTGAACTATTTATAATAGCCAGAATCTGGAGACAACCTGAGTGCCTGAGAACAGATTACTGGATTAAAAAA